TCCGGTGATTTTCATATCGGCGTTCATTTCACTTTTGTAGGTTCATAAACTCTTACTTTTTTATTAAGCTCAATCTTTCATAACTCTTCTGATTTACTTTGAATCTGTTTATTTGCCATCTGTTGCCTTCTATTTTTAAGTTTTGAATTGTTTGAATGCCTGGCACTGTTCTTGTCATATCCGCTTTCTGTTGCTAGCATCGTGTCTGGGTCATTACTTTCTTGTTCTTCACATACGTACTTAGTGCCTGTGCACTTGACTTTATTCTTGAACTTTGTCGTCTTCTTTGACTATTTTTCTCTTTTCTCATTTAATCCTCTGGCTTCTTCTCTTTTTAGCTCTTTTGCTTAAATCCGTCATTTGTTCCAAGCTTTCAAGTTTTTGCAACTGTCTTCGTTTCTCTCTTCCGGTGAAGCTTTACGTCATTCTGTCATTGTCGTCAGCCTTCGGCAATTCTCATTCCGGCTTCCCTCTTTCTGGTAAGCCACTGTTCCTCCTGGTTTTATTTCTTGTTGCTTTCCAAGAAGCTCTGCTTCATTGTTTAATCACCATTGTTGTTTTACCCGTTATTTCCAAATCATCTTCTTGAATACACATTGTTCACACATCTGTTGATTTCTGCCACTGTTCTTGGCTTGACACACTTGTGCAATCTTTTTGCCTTGATTTCTTGATAGCTTCATCATCATTCTTGATTACGAATTACATTCATGTTTTTGTTTTTTGTGTCATTTTCCACATTCTTGCTTTCAATCTTTGCCTTCAAACTCCGAGGTGCCAATCGCCAAGAAGAGCTTTGATCAAACTCTTCAGGAGGTCGATACTGAGCTCGTGGCCGAGAAGGCTGCTGAGAAGTTCTTTCCAACTGTCTTCTGGGGGTGAGACACAACCTACCGCTAATGCCGAGTAGTTTGCTTCCTTCTTGAAATTGATGCCGAGGTAGCGGTAGAGAAGCTCCTCCAACTGTCTGCCGAGGCTGAACCATTGTCATCCGTCGAAGCAGATTAGTCCGAGGTTCTTGCTTTCAGTCCCTAGTTCTTTAAGGTCTTCATTTTTGTACTTGCCAACCTTTTCAGCTCTTAACAAGCTAGTTGGTCATCTCGGTTGATCATATCTCAGAAACGTCTTTCAGTGTTTATCTCGGCTATACCAAACTTGTAAATTGCTAGACTTCATAATCTTCGGTTAACTTATCTTGTAATTTGCTCAAAAATTTCAACAAGTGTTAACATTCTTTGTTAACATTCCTTACTCCTTAATTATCATTCATTCCCCCTACACCTTCTCCCTGCTCCCTAATGTGAACGCAAGTTGTACTTAGGATCACATTAGGGAAGTTGGCTTCGTGCTGTAGTCACAGACCTGATGTGTTCTTCTTTCGCCGATGTATTAAAACTTCTGGTATTTAATTCACCCCCTTTAGACCCTCTTTCTCTTGGCCTTTGCAAACTATCATCGCTGTTTCTTGAAGCATTTATTCCTTTCACAATTCTGGTCACCACTTCTGGCGTGCACTTAGTGGTTCTAATCAAAACGACATTTGACTCCGACGAATCTTTTGTCGACATTTAACTTTGTGCACTCTTTAACTTGTAAATTCGCTCAGAATTTCAACAAGTGTTAAGCATCATTTCGGTTTAACTTCGGTTAAGTATCATCTCAGTTTAACTTCAGTTAAACCTCACCTCAGTTTAACTTCGGTTAAACATCATCTCGGCTTAACTTCGGTTAAGCATCATCTCAGTTTTTGAAGTTTTTTCCTTTTTTTGTCGCTTGTACTCTTGTACCTTTTTGCTCTTTAGATAATGTAAACTCTGCATATGGCCGATGTGCCTCCTTGTTCTTCAATGCCTAATTCAACTTTCCTTCTCTGAATGAAGCGCTCTTCGTCGTCCTCCTAGACGAGGATTTTCTTCAGTGTCTTTTCACTCTTTTTGGCTGGCTCCTTGCCGACATCATCTAGTTCCTCTATGTCCTCGTTTTCAATCTCTGCCTTATCTAATTCTCAAATGCTGCTGGTGGATTTCATTGTTGCCATAGAGCAATTCTCTGTATGTAGTTGATCCCCTCTGACTTCTTCAATCCCATGTTCTATTGGGAACCGCAGTAGTTGATGCAATGTTGAGGGAACTGCCCCCATTGCATGCAACCATGATCTTCCCAAGATTTGTAAGGAGATGGAGTGTCGATGATGGTGAATTCTGTTGTGATCTTTCTGGTGCCAGCCTGCACCTCCAAGCTTACTGCTCTCAGTGGCCATGTCGGCGTTCCATTGAACCCAACCATTGGGTCATTGGGTTGCTCCATATCGTCTAGATGAAGGCCGAGCTCCTTGTAATATCGGATATACATGATGTCACAAGAGCTTCCTTGGTCAATCAGGATGCATTTCACTTGGCACTCCCCAACCTGGAGGGATACTACCAAAGCATCATTATGCGGGTGCTGGACCATTTTGAGGTCGGCTTCGGTATAAGACATTACTGGTCCCAAGCATTCATCTGCCCGATGTCTCTTGTCCCCGACTTGGTAGACATGTTGCAGGTGCTTTCACCTTCTGAGTCTCCCCCCTAATTTCGTTCTCGTTGACCCTCGAGTGAATTACATTAATTACCCGAGGTCTTCCTGCCTGAGGTTGTTGTGCTGAGGGAGGTGGAGCTGCTGGCGCCCGAGGCAATTTTGCCTGTTCTTCCCTTGTTCTGGTCTCATCGACGAGGTCCCTTCAAATTGCCTTGCCTCATCAGATCTTCTAAGTGAGCTTTTAGTATTCTGCAGACCTGAGTCATACGCCCGCCTTCAACATATACCTTTAACTGTGGCAATCTCCTCGGGTTACATACCTCGGGTATAATAGCTACAAACTTTTACTTCGGCAAGATACTGACCTGCAAACTTTTCATAAATTCTAACAAGTGCGAAACATATACTACTCAATGTTAGCTTTGCAAATTTTTCTCAAGTTTCAACAAGTGTTTAAACGGTGATCTCGGTCTAGCCTACTTGTAAATTGCTACAAATTTCAACAAGGATTACATAACAAGTGTTAAACA